CCCTCTCCTTTTCAGGGTATCATGTCTACCCTCTACACAAAAAAGGAGGTATTTACCATGCAAAACCAGGTTTTCCGAAAAATACCCTGAAAAAAGCGGGAGTAGGGGGAATAACAACACAGCCCTCCAGCCGACCACTGCCAATACATTATGTTCAACTACCCAACACTAAACCAAGACTAAATAGCTGGAATGCGCCACAGCCGAAGCTTCAATGGGAATGGTGCACACTGCTGCTTAGCCAGCATGGATTGCGACTTAGCGGTTTTAGGTCGGAATCCAACAGAAGGTACTTTTCAGCTAGCCACATTCACCAAGTGCCGCTGCCTGCCTCACCCTGCTTCAAGATCGCATCTAGCTGCTTGTGGCCACTCAAGGACGGAGTGAAGCTAGTGCCCACAATATGTGGGTCATCGATATGGTTCCCTTTCTGGGGTTGATGACCATTCTTACCAACCCTAAGAAAAAGGGCGCGGCTAGAGGACACCCTGAGAAACCCACAGGAAAACGGGCCGAAAGATAGCAGCAAGAGCGTCAACTGCGTATTTCCAGCCTCAAAGATGGGCTGGCGCCGACTGTGCAGAAAGTTCAGGTATTCCTGGTTTCGCTCCTGCGCAATCGCGGGGTAGGCAAAAAGAGCCATCGACCAATAGGTGGGTATATCCTTTCTTTGCCTGGGTTCAGCTTTCCTCTAATTGGTGATTTGGATTGGTTGTTTGGTGTTTAAGGGCCGGTTTCCCATTTGCCCTCCACAAGAAGGGTTCAAATCCCCAATTCCCACCAAACCACCAATTCAGGGCCTCCTGCTTCGGGTAGAACCCTTGAATTCTAGGTCTTGATTGTGACTCACTTGGGACACCTCGGGGGCTTGCAACTTTCGACAAAAATCCCAAGGACACTGAAAGCATGGAGTAGGCCAGGGATCCCGGTGTCCAACTATCCTGCGAGAAGAAAAAAACTCACATGGCCATGGGTCATAACTTATGCCTGCATTTTGGGGCGGATGAACACCCATGTACCACCTATTTTGATGTTCACCAGGGGTACAGGGTTTTGACCCACAGCCACATACAAAGGGCAACGCGAAGTTCAGCGCAAAAACAAACAGGCCAGAACCCCTGGAAGATGCCAAAGTCAAGAGCTGCCGAAGCCGCTGGCTAGGATGTACCCCGAGGTGCGGGAGGAAGCCTATATATTGTCCAGGCCTCCACTTAGTCATCCAAGCGGGGGACATACCAAACCTGTTGTGGAACAAGGTCACCATGTTACTGTCAGCTGAGTTTCAAGGCAAGCCCCCTGCAAAACAAAACAGGAAGAGGGGTCTGGGAGATACCAATCAGTTCCTGCATGCCCCGGTTTTGGTTTCTGGCGGGGGCGGTTTGCGTGGTTTTGTGTCGGTGGCTGGGCTGGTCAAGGGAGGTTGCGGCGAAGAGACAACGGAGAGGGGCACATCCTCATCCATGCGAAGCAAGTCATCCACACCAAGGGGCTTGGAGAGTTCGAGTGTGGCACAACAAGCAGGTGTGCACCCCTTAGATGTGTGGTGCCTCAAAATGAGGCAGACCTATCAACCTCAAAATACAACATACATATGAATCACAATCTCTCTTTGAAACAGGTCCACGCCCATCTTCATCAGCTCCTTTTGGCAATCGATCGAATTTGGCTTCAGACCCTGGACCACTCCAAAGATGCAGCTGGAACGACAAGCTGTGATCGGAATGTTTCACCAGGTGGCCCCGACAAAAATGACACATCCACTTGAGACACAATCCATCTGAGGTCAACCAGAAAGCCCTGCAAGTGAACATGTTTTATGGAAATTAGGACATTTGAGCCGAGTGACTTTCAAACAGGGGCAGCGTGGCGCTTTGATATGGGGTTGCTGGTTTTTGAGGCACCCTCTTTTAGGCGATGAGTAGAAAGGGAGACCAAAAAAAACATTCACTTTTTGGGGGGGTTGACACGCACCCATATTCACACAGTAACGGCAATGTGATGTTTTTGAACAAGCGTCCGGGGCGACATAGTGCCTTGTTGCTGAAACCTGCGGCAAGTGTGTATTTGGGCCTTACCACCCAAGAAACTTTTTTCCGACATCACCAGGGGCTTCCTATGAGCCCCCGTGAAAGCAAACCCCGCCGGCGGGAAACTCTTGCTGTGTTTTGGCCTGGACTTGGCCACTTCTATACGCAGAAAGTCAGATTCTTGCGGTCTCCACATTCGAGCGTGTTTTTTCAGGAGACTCCCAAAAGGGCTTTCCTTCTCGTTTCCTTTTAAAGACCACAAACAAAAAGGGTCCCTCGGAAAAAAAAGAAAAGAAAAGAAGGACCCGCTGCCCGTTTCGACTCTTCAGCCTAAAAACTCAGACAGTCTCCTGCATCATCTTCGCCATCCGCAGGCGCTCCGCCTTGACTTCCAGCACCTGGGCCGCAACCCCACGGCCCAAAAGATTTGGTAGGGTCCCCCTACTTGGCGGTTTGGAGCCCGGTGGTTTGGTGGTTAAGGCGTGGTTTCTCATTTATCCTTCTTTAAGGACCAGGGTTCAAATCCCCAAACCACCAACTGAGGGTTGCATGATATAAGACCCCGACAAAAAAAAGAGAGAAACATCATCACCAAGTAAAGCTCAAACAAAAACATGGGCCAAACATGTGATGCGGTGTTTGTTTCGCCGCAGTGCCTGAGCCCCTATGGCCATGGAAAGTCATTGACCCTGAAGGGCAAAGGACAAGGGCACCCTGAATTACACGACCAGGCTGCAACATTGGGACTAGCATTTTGGGGAAGCACCTGGGGGGATTCGGCGGGGGTTGGTACCCTATAGGAATACCCGCTTAAAAGCTACTACGAGAAATCGATGTTCGATACCCATCAACCTGCAAATCCAATAGGGGGACTGCCCTAAACCGATACCCTGGTTGCATTTGTCCGTTGTTCAAACATAGAGCAGGTAGATGAGTAGGGAACAAAAGAACTACAACCACAGCTACAATTCTAAAGGGGGTAGCAGAAACACGTTCGACATGAAACAGGCAGGGCAACCATCTACACATTTCTTGCACTCGCGCTGGTTCCTACCATCTGTTAGTTCTACAACCCGGGCCGAATGAAATGGCCAATGCCAAGGCCGGAATCTTCGCCCTGACATGGGAATAATTCGGGCTTTACTGCGCGTCCACGGGATCCCTGCAAAAGACCAACTCCTTTTGCAGCGCTTGGGCTTTGACCCAGAACTGGGATACGTGCTGCTTGGAATTGGCCGCTCAATCAAGCAGCAACAACGGAAGACCAACGAGAATCAACACATAAACAACTACACCACTGAAGATCAAAACTGAGACAAAACCAACAGACCAAACAGAGAAGCGAGCAAGCAGCATACCCAAAACAACAACTATCAACAAGCAATCGTTTGGGGATTTGAACCCAAAAACAAAGCTGGAAGCTGCGCTATCCAAACTGATCCTCTGCTAAAACTTCAACTTGTGGGTTAAACGGCCCACTACACCAACCAACAAAAACCACTAAAAGCAACTAGGCAACCGGACGATTCGCTGGGAACCGCCAAGAGGAAAGACCCAAACACCGGAGTTTCAGGCTGAGAGCCCGGCTCCCTTGAGCCAGGCTTGGCTCTTGCGCTTGATCCGGTCCTCCCGCAAGCTCCAGGCGCCCTGAAGAGGGAGTGGAGTTGAGGCTCGCTCGAGCGGGCTCCTCGTTTTGGGGGAGAACCAAAAGCTGGTTTTCCTCTTGGCCACCCCTCAAAACTTCTCAAAAGAACCACAAAACCGGGGTACCCTCGAAAAGCGACGGACTAATATGAGTGTGCGTTCCGAGGCGAAAGCGAAAGGTTGCCTTCTCATCTTGACCTAAAGGGTTTGGGCTTGCGGTGCAAAACCTATGCCCAGGTCAGTCTTGACCACGTCAGGCTCACGTTTTTGCTGCGTGGCTTGAAGACTTCGATCAAGTCAAGCAGTCAAGGAGTGTGTGGTTACGGGCTCGATCTGTTTGCCAAGTTCTGCTCTTTTTGGTTTTCCGGGGGTCTAGCTTGCTTGTCATCGCCCCAACACGTGTGTGTGTGTGTGTGTGTGTGTTCCGCGTGTAAATATGTGTATGATATAGTTATACGGCCACTCTCCGCATGTGTTCCCCGTTTTGGGTATCAGGCAGGTGAGGGGGCAAAGCCATGGTGTATATCCAAGCCCCATGTCCCCCAGGGATCTACCTCGCTTAACCTGGTTGGTTGTTGCCTGGTAGGTTGGTTGTTGGTTTGTTGCTTGGTTTGGTTGTGTTTCTTGTAAACCGAAATCCAATGACTCCCTACTGCTCTCTGCACCGGTGTGTGAAGTGAAATGATAGGCGTCGGATGTGGCAACTTTTCGGACTGTTCTGGAGTAGATGCCTATCAGTGGGATTGTGTCAAAAGCGTGAAGGTGGACCCCTTTGCTAGGTTGGTCAAACTGACGTGCAAAACGTGAGGCACTGTTTGCGGCGCGGGAAAACTGCAACTTAAATCTGAAGGTTGAAGGTCCGGTACCAGACCAAAGAGCAACCAAGCTTAAGAGCATGCAAAATGGACCTGCCCAAATCTGACTCAAGTAAACGTGTACGACTCAATGCAGCAACAAGAGGTTGATACAGCCGACACGTCCCTCACTCACATAATCCTGTTTGCGAGCCGAAATTTGTGTGTGCTCTGGCCGCAACTTGCAAAATATGGTAGAAAGGACCAACCACTCTCCAAAGCAAAACAAATTCAAATTACAGGAGCAGCTTTGTGCGCAAACCATCTGCTGCGTCTGCATGTTGCTACTTCTGCTTCGTCTTCTTTCTCTGGATCGCACTCGCTTGGTCTCAGACCAACAAAATAGCAACGTGATGGAGGTTCCAAAAACACCAGGCCTGGTCAAGGCATCCGCATTTTCTCGGGCCATTCCAACAGACCTGAAGTGTGCCTTAAGTGTGGATATGGTGCCCGTAAGAGGAATCCTTACCATGTTCAGAATCCCTTTTAACCCAGAGCCTCAGTGGCCATGGGACTGATGTTTGGTGCACCAAAGACCACATATGCAGAGTCTGGCCCCTATTTCGTGACACCGAAAGCCCCACCTCGCGCTTGCGCATGATCTCCTCGTCGTGCTTCCTCTCCTGCAAGAAGTCTCGACGAAAGGGCCGTGTCACCAAGCGCTCTTTGACCAAATGCTGAAAACCCCGAAAACGACTTGTGTGCAGGGTTGCCAACAAAATGGAGGCTTTAGGAATCCCTACAAGGCGGCACAAGACGGCCCCAAGGTCGGAAAAGGGCATATCGTTGACACCCCACATAAACAACAGCTAGCGACGCTTCGTTTGACACACATTCGACATTCCCAACCCTGTGACATCGCTATGGGCCATCAGCCCTTCACTCCAAACGAAGGTGCAAGTGAGACATCCACGAAGGAAACCGCGACGTGGCATTTCCCTTGCTCGAAGTTCGTTCGAACGCAAAAAATGGTGCGACGAGTCTTTGCAGCTTCGAATGGATGTCAACAATACCAAAGAAGCTCTAACACTTCATTCAGAGTAGAACAGTGAAGATAACTCGTCATAGCCATGGTAGAACTGACGTCCACGTTCCGGGAGGTCACAATACACAAGAAACAACTGTGGATAGCTCAGAAAACTAAACGCCCAACCCCAAGACACAAAGCAACACTGAACCACAAAATAAATCAGAAAATGCACAAAAATACTGTTTCACAATACTGGGCAAACTAATAATAAAAACAATATCACTTGCCCAAACGACCTGAAAATACAAGGTTAACCTTTTGCGACCTTGGCTAAATATAGTCTGAAACGGGAAAACCAAAAGGTCAAAAGCTCGATTCGCTTGGAGCAACTGAGCAATAGTAATAAAAGCAAACAAGAAGCAAACAAAACGACCGAAGGATTTGACAGATCGCCTGCAAGCGCTTGGCGCGAATCTCTGCGAGATCCTTGTCCTGAACGGTGACTTCAGCCGCAATCGTGCTTTGGGGAAAAAACATGGCCAATTCTAGGAGTTTGCTTTTGAAACATGAAATGAATACTGGATTCAATCTGCCAAGAATTCAGAACTTGGAGTTTTGGCCAGAATTAACTTTAATCTTGGGTGTTCTTGAATATTATGCACCTGAACGGAGTGAACCCCCCCAAAAAAAAACATGGCAAAGGTGATGCTTGAAGTGGAAAGAGATATGAGAATGGAATAGAAACAATGGGATGATTCTTGTCTCGTCCCACTCCTTCATTCACAAACACAATTCAAGACCAGACAAGAAAAGAGGTAGACATATATTATCAACTGCACTTCATTCTGGTGTGTGTGACATTGGGAACTCGTCTAAATGCTGTGGAGAGAGAACCAAGGTGAGCGGTCAACCTCATCCTGATTTCGGACCTGTCCGCTCTTCAAGGATCCCCCCCACCGCTCGATCCAAAGGTAACGAAAACACTGTAACCCATGGATCGAGGGTGCCATGTCTAAGAGAATGGACATGGCTTCCTCGAGAATCACCGGGTTTTACCTTCCTTCTCTTTCCCCTGCCAATTGATAACGTGAAAGTGGCTGGGGGAAGGAAGGTCATCATGTTGCCCATCCAAGATTCTGGAACCTTGGTGGTCATCATGCGTTGTGCCCCGCTTCCTAATTGCAGCAATTGATAATAGAAGCGACGGAAATATTAAACAATCAATGCATGATGAAGATAGCAAATGGATATATAAATCCATGCGCCACCTTTGACCGACTGATGTGACCTCGCAAGGTAACGGAGAAACCAAAACACTATATGTTCAGATCATATTTTATATGTTGTCTGCCGAATGTAAATATAATTGTGGAGACCCCCAAAATCAATTAAAAGCTTAGGAACAAAATTGTGTCCCAAAGAATCCCTCGGTAGTGAGCATGTTCTATTTTGGGGGGAAGCTAGAAGGGGTTAAAGCACCTCCTCAGAAGGTAGGGACCCATTGAGCTAGGTAAGTCTGGCGTTGCTAATATCTGCTTTCCATAAACGAGACTCAGCTGCCAAAGGCTCTGAAGGTAAAGGTTAATCTTTTGGAGCCATGGCTTAAGAATGATGAGAAAGAGGGAACAAAAGGTCTAAAAGCCGATTTGCTCTGGGCAAGTGAGACACGACATGGTTTCCATGATAAGCAGCCCCCAAGAAGGTACCTTCAACAATGCACACTGAGCCAGTGTAGTCCGGGGAATCCCTTTCGGATGGACGCTGGCCACGTGGATGGGGTCCCTAACTTTGAGAAACAGCCAAATTATGCATCAAGCAGGGGCCCTCAAAATATGTATATACTGTAAGGCTCCTTGTATATAATATACATGAATATATACATATATATATATGTATTAATAATATATATATATAATATGTGTGTATGTATGTATGTACGTACGTATGTATGTAGGTAGGTATGTATGTCTGTAGGTACGTACGTACGTATGGATGTATGTGTGTA